CCATCATGCCTGGCTAATTTTTGTATTTTTGTAGAGACGGAGTTTCACCATATTGGCCAGGCTGGTCTTGAACTCAACCAGGCATTATTCTAATAGACCTCAACATATCCTCGCAAAAAGTTCCAGCAGCCTGGCCTGCCGGCTCCAGTCCCTGCCTGCACAGTTTGCTCCCCACCTGCAGCCAGAGGGAACCTGTGAACCCCTGAGTCAGGTCAGAGCCCTCCTGGCTCGGAGCCCTGCGCTGGTCTCTGACTGCCCCTCTCCCACTCTGCTCCGACATCTTGGGCAGCCCGGTGTGCCCGGGAGGACCTACAGGGTCTGTTCCCTCCATGCTCACTCTAGATACAATTGGAGAGGCTTGGGTTTTTCAGGGACAGGACTCAGCCAGGCCCGAGCAGTGGTGACCGTGGCTGAGCTGGGCCCTGATCTTCCTCCAGGCTCCAAATCTCCTGCCCTCCCCTCCTCCACGGGCCACTGGGCATCTGTCCTGTGACCAGAATCCAGTTTCCCCTTTTCTCTCCTGAGCCCAGGCCCAGGGAGCTGTGGGTGCGACATGTGGATGGGGGAGGAGGGCTTCCTGCAGCTGTCTCATCCCCCAGCACCCTAACCTCAGGTTCCTCCTTCCCCAGCGCGCTCGGTCTCCGGCTAGGGGGTAGAAGTCCCCGTCTCCTTGGGGTGGCCTCCCTCAGGCCTTGCTCCCAGCCACTTCCTCATTCAGCAGGGCAGCCAGCCACCTGTCTCCCTAGCTGCCAGCCCTGTCTCTGTATCTGTGTCACTGCCTCGTTCTCACCCTCTTTCTCGGCTTTGCCTCTGTTTTCTCCTTCCCCATCTTTCATCTTTTTTTTCCCCCTGTCCCTTAGTCAAAAACCTGCCTTTAGATCTTGGGTTCCATTTCCATCTTGATTTGCTGTGCAGCCTTAGGCAAGTGTCTCTATCTCTCTGAACAATGGGGATAAGAGCATGTGCCCCAGAAGTGCTTTGCAGGGACCGAATGATTTAATGCTTGGGACAGAGTGCCTTCACGTCATGGTGGCTCTTTTAATATCCTTTAAACAGCACAAGGTTCTGATGATTAAATAATACTCATCACAGCTGATGCTTTAAAAGAGCTGAAAAGTGTCAGACCCTGCTCTAGGAACTTTAATCCATTTAATCCCCACAACTCTAAAAAGTAGGTCCTGTTTTACTCCCAGTTTTACAGATTAAGAAACTGAGGCTCAGACAGGTTGGGGCTGGGCGCAGTGGCTCACACCTGTAATCCCAGCACTTTGGGAGGCCGAGTTGGTTGGATCACCTGAGATCAGGAGTTCAAGACCAGCCTGGCCAACATGGTGAAACCCTGTCTCTACTAAATAAAAAATACCAAAATTAGCTAGGCGTGGTGGCGTGCGTCTGTAATCCCAGCTACTTAGGAGGCTGAGGCAGGAG